TCTTTTGAAACAAAGGAAAGTACAGAATTTCTCATATAACTAATATCACATAAACTATTCTAAAGGCTTCACATTTTATAACAGTAGCTCTCTTTCTCTTCTTTTTTTTTTTCTTTTTTTTTTTTCATTTCCTTCAACTAATCATTCAATCATTCCTCCAAATGAGTAGTTACATTTTAAATAGCAACTAGCCAATTCAACTAATTAATGAAAGTTCATAAGTTGTTTTCTCAACTCTCCACTCATTCACAAAAGATGTTAATATAAAAAAATAGTGCATTTAAACCTGATAATTCTCTTGGTTATACATATTGAACATCCATCTAACCACAAAACTTAGTATTGTGCGCAAAACGTTTTTAGAAGTTACCCTTTAATAATCAAGATAGAGAAAGTGACTTAAACCAAGTAATTTTGAAATCATACCTAGGTAGAAAAGCAAAAATAATCATGCTTTGCAAACCTTTTCACACAAGAATTACCAAAGTAAAGGAAATAAGCAAAGTGTTGGTCTCTTTTTGGCTTTCTCTCTCTATGTATATAAAAAGTGTGCATAAAATATGCATGCAATGCAGCCATCCCTAACCTAAACAAGACAGTGTCCTCATTGGCATAGAACAAAAGAAATAAAAGAAAACCTACAACAGTAATAGCTAGGGAAAGAAATTGAGAAATCTAATAAAAGACAAGTTACTAAAAAAGGCAAAAACAAACAAAAGAAAAGAAAAGAAAAGAAAAATGACATTATGGAAAGATAGAACCTAATTAAGTATTGTAGACTGGAGCCACAAGAGTGATCTCACTCTCCTCTAGTTGGTCTACCTACTCCATATATTGTTTCAACTATTGTCCATTAACTCGAAAAATTCTCCCATTGGTTGGATCCTTAATCTCTATCGCACCATTAGGGAAAACTCGTTTCACCACAAATGGGCTTGTCTATCTAGATCTTAGCTTTCCTAGGTGGAGATGCTAACAAGAATAAAAAAGATGCACTTTTTGGTTTGGTTCAAAGTTCTTCCTTAAGATTTGATTGTCATGAGTTGCTTTCAATTTAGCCTTATAAATCCTAGAGTTATCATATGCATTGTTCCTCAATTCTTCTATCTCTGATATTTGTAATTTCGTTTGGGTACCTATAGCATTCAAATCAAAATTAAGTGCTTTAGGAGCTTAATAAGCTTTATGTGTAAGCTCCATAGGTAAATGACAAGCTCTCCCATATACAAGCTAGTATGGAGACATCCCAAGGATAGTCTTATAGGTAGTGTAATATGCCCAAAGTGCATCTGAAACGCGTAAAGACCAATCTTTGCGATTTGGGTTTATCGTTTTCTCCAAAGTTTATTTTACCTCCCTATTAGCTAATTTAGCTTGCCCATTAGTTTGTGAATGACAAGAAGTTAACATTTTGTGTATAACACCATACCTATTATAGATTTTAATTAAAAAAACATAGAAACATAGTACTCATAAATCCATGCATTTCTATTTTTAAAAAAGAATCAAATTCAAAATGGTTTCAAATGCATACAATATTTCTTCATTATTGCATTCAGTTTCATGAATAACTCATCGGTTTCAAATCTTGTCTTTATAACTGGCAAATGTCATTAAGTCTCATTTAGTCTCATTTTAAATTTTAATGGTTTCTCATTTTATTAACTTTGATTATGTTATGAAGGTCTATAAATAAGCAACCTCCATTTCTGCCAATGACTGACACAATCTTCAAAATATGCACTCTTATTAAAAAAAAAAAATACCATACTTTGTATTCAAACTTTTTTGGGTAAGGAAAAGATGGTGGGGTAGAGTTTTCTTTACAAGAGCGCAAAACTTGTAAAATTACAATGAGGAAAGGTTGGGTTGCTGTATCTTAGGGATGGCATAACTATAAGAAACTGCTACACTAGTGGCATGAAATATCCTAAAGAGTGATTGATCCATGTCTCAACTCAAGCTCCTCATATTTTCGGTAACATCAGTCTAGTTTTCATCTTAAATTATTTTTTTTTACTAATCATTTGTTTACTTTATTTTTCTATTTATTTTACAAGGAACAAAAATTCTAAGAAGTTTTGAAAAAAAATTTTTTTTTTTTTAAAAAGAGTTCTCCTTGTGAAAAACCTATTAAGCTCACTAATGATCATAACATGCCTTTTCGTTTTAATGTTGAACATTTCAAAAGATGGAAAGGAAAAGTTTTGTATTATCTTAACTTGTTCAACTTGGCATATGTCCTCAATGAGGAAAATCCTATTAATAAGTCAATTGAAAGCATGAGTGTTGAGGAAAAGAAATCTCATAAAAAGAAAGTCCAAAAGTGGGAGAAAGATGAATATGATTACTATAACTCTTTGCCTAATTACCTTTCTGATGAGCTTTATGATTACTATGAAAGAACTCACTCCACTACTAAGGAAACTTGAGATGCTTTGAAAAAAAAATGTGACACTGAAGAGGCTAATGCAAAGATGTATATTGGTAACCAATGGCTGTGCTTTCAAATGGTGGATGGCAAGTCAGTGGTGTCACAAATTTGAGAGTTTGCCCATGAGTTTAGATTAGAAGGCATATGGATTGGTGACAAGCTTGAGGTTGTAGCCATTATCAACAACTACCTTCATGGAAAGAGTTTCAAAAGATGATCCACCACAAGGAAAAGGAGATTACTGTGGAAAATCTTTTAACTCATACTCAAGTTGAAAAGGAGGCAAGGAATCAAGATGCTCAAACTACAAATGGAGGTAACATATCAAAGTTAAACTTTGTTATCATTAATGATAGCTTTCCCAAAATTAATAATTTTAAATATAATGCCCAATTGAGATCTAAGAAGAAAATTGTTAAAAAGAATTTTGGGAACCATTTTGTTGGGAGACCAAGTCAAAATTTTAAGAACCAAGGACCTACTTAAAAAAAGAAAAAAAGAAAAGAAAAGAAATGCATGTTTTATATTTGGCAAGCTTGGGCATACTACTAGAGTTTGTAAATTCTAGAAGCAGGGGCCTACTCCATAGGTCAACATAATAGAGGAGCCCTTTGTGGTGATGTTATTTGAAATAAACATGCTTAATGGGGGTGAAGGATGGTGGATTGATTATAGTGCCACAAGGCATGTCTGTAGAGACAATCTTGGTTTAAAACATTTTCTGAATATGATGTTGAAAAGGAAGTGAGACTTGGTGATGATCATACAATGAAGAATCATGGGCAAGGAAAGGTGGAATTAAGTTATACCTTTGGAAAAACATTGACTCTTAAAGATATGCTTTACACACCTCAAATGAGGAAAATTTTAGTTTTTGGATTTCTTCTTGGTAAGGCTAGCTTCAAAGAGATTTATGAATCTAGGCATTATGTTTTGACTAACAATGGTATATTTGTTGGGAAAAGCTATACATGTGATGGCATGTACAAATTAAATATTGATATGAATAAAGTTCCTTCAAGTTCCATTTATATGATCTCTAATATTGTTTGGCATGATTGCTTATGTCATATTAATAATAAATATAGCCAAAGTAAATATTGATTTCAAAAAATATGAATCTTGTAGTTTGACTAAAATCACTAAAAAAACTAATAAAAGTGTTGCGAGAAAAATTGATTTATTGAAATTAAGTCATACTAATATTTGTGAATTTGAGGGAGTTTTGTCATGTGGTGGCTGTTAATATTTTATTACTTTCATTGATGTTTTTCCAGAATACACATATATTTATTTGATTAAGCATACATGTGATGCTTTTGAAAAATTTCAAATCTTTTTAAATGAAGTTGAAAACTAGTTTGGAAGGAAAATTAAAAGATTTAGAAGTGATAAAGGTGGTGAATATGATTCAAATGATTTTAATAAATTTATACAATCTTTAGGTATTATTTATGAGACTACTCCTCCAAATTCACCTTCTTCTAATGATGTAATTGAACGTAAAAATCATACTTTAAGTGATTTGACTAATGTTATACTTGTTAGTTTAGGTGCACCATCTAATCTGTAGGGTGAAGTTGTTTTGACTACATGTTATATTTTGAATCGTATTCCTAAAAAAAGGACTAATCTAACTTTTTTTGAGATGTGGAAGGGCTACAAGCCAAATCTTAATGATCTCAAAGCTTGAGGATGCTTGGCTTATGTAAGATTAACATATCCAAAGAGACCAAAGTTATGTGTGAAAGCTGCGACATGTCCATTTATTGGTTATGCTACTGCAAGGCATATATATTCCTTGATCTTGATTATAA